AGCGCCGCCATTTTGACTTTTTTGACCCCTGTGACGTCATCTTTGACCTGACCTGAAAATGACCTTAGTAAAAATTGTAGACCTTGTCCGTGCGTATCCGATGCCGTTTACCGCTTGTCGCTATCTTGCTTCGTTCTCGAGATCTCAGGGGGGGGGGCGGTCATCCGCCCCCCCCCCCGTCGGTACTAAGTTGGCGCAGACCCCCGTCGGTGCGCGGGTTAAGTTGAATATCGGCTTTTGCTTTTTGAATCTCGTAGGAAAACAGTTAATGCTTTAATAATAATCACAACTAGCACATACAAGTGTTATGCTATAATGTGGGCTTGACTTGAGTGTTGTTATATACATTGAACCTTCATTTATAAGAAACAAAAACTTGTATAAATGAATATGGTTAGAAGTCGCGAACATGGGTGAACATGGGTAGCTACTTAAGACAAGGCTTAGAAATTGAGATAGCCAGAAACGTCTTCGTTGATAAATGAAATTTATTCAGCTCTGTCTGATTACACAGATTTTGACTATTTGGTAAGAAGATAACCCGGTCAGCGATAGTCCCCAATCTGTACACTGTAAACCAAATTGACAAGTCTTGTGTAATATAACCAATCATCTCTTGGTATGTTTACCAACTGATACTTTTCAAACAAGCCGTTGTCTGGTGCATTGCTTGTCAGATGACAACTACGAGTCAATAGTTACTATGCACACCAACTTCTCAGTATCCAGACCAACTCTACATTTGTTTCAACGTTTGTTTCTTAACCAGTTTTGGAAACTTGTTGCCGCATGGTTATTTAACCGGCGCCTAACTTGTACTGGGCAGCTGGTCAGCATACACATGGTCAGCTGCGCCCGTGACGTCAGACTTGGCGGACCAATCAGCGGTCGCCGTCCGGCCCCGGCGCGGCGGTTTCAAACCGTTCAAACCAGCAGTTGTCGCGCGGCCGCCGTGCAGCATGGATCAGCGACGAGGGCTGTTCCAGCATTTGTGCAGTAAAAAGTGAAATCTGTGAACTGTGGTGTTCGTGCTGTGAGTGAGGCCCGCTCTGGCCTGCGGGACGCACTAATCGTGCCTATACCCGCGGTCGAGACGCCTCCCTTCCCCTGCGCGCGCAATGTAAGTGGGCCAGACCTTTGCATGCACATGTGAGCAGATGTTTTGCGGTCGGTGTTTTTTTATATATAAATACATTTATTTGCCTTTAATTCAACTCTTTGTATTTTTAACTTAACTGATGGACATATATGGGCTGTAAAAGCTAATCTGGTTGGCGATCATGATTTATTCGAATTATCTGCGTGATCGTGCAACTGCCATGATTGTTATGGTCAATGTGGAAATATTCGTCATACGGGCATGTTATACTTCTGGCTTGATGCGATGCACAAAACCATGTTCTTCCACATACGCAGCAGTTCTTGCTTCAAAGACTTATATGCTGACGGTGCACGATAGGTATACCTTATACCTCATGCATTTACCACATCCATTCGAAAATATGCACTTGGAATTGTCTCCAGTCAATAGTATTAATTACATACTACGTGATGTAGGTACGTGACCGTAATAAATACTAATGATTCCAGAAACTTCCGAATGGATGTGGTGTATGCATTCATCGATTATATAACCCATCAGTATTTCGTTTCTTGTCAGCGCAAGCCTTTGAGCAATAACTGATGCCAGTCATGATTTTGTACACCACTTCCAGCCAAAAAATGACCTGTCCGTATAGAAAATATTTCCTGAATCAGTATCGTGGCAATTGAAAACGAACGCGAATCGTAAGTTCTTAACCCTCGCCCGCACATGGGGGGGGGGTGGTTGCCACCCCCCCCCCCCAGGCAGTCTTTCTGCTCTGCACTCGACATTTTTAGAGCTAGAAGGCTGATTTTTCGTATAGCTGCTCGTCTATCCTTTCTTGATGTCCACTGAAAATTTCAAGTTTCTGTAATTTTTGGTTTCGGAGATATGACCTTGTTTTTCAGGTCATGTCATGACCCAAATGGCCAATTCTCAACATCTTGCGTTTGCCATGGGCCTTGTGAGCTTTTGACACCCTGATTTCGGCCTTTTTTGCCAGTCTTACCTCCCACCTATCATGGAACATGTTGTTCGACGATGTACAGGGGTCAAGGTCAGGGTCAAGGTCAACCTAGGTCATCTAGGATAATTGCGTTTTAGGCAAGCTGAATTTACTTTGTGTGAAGTTTTTTGACTGCATTTTTGGTAAAAGCTTCTCAGATCATGATTTCATGTGATATGGACCCAAAAACAATCGGTGCACACATCAGTATACACACAGACACACACAGACATACAAACACATATAATTGACCTTGACCTAACTTGACCTGAAATGACCTCAGCAGCAAAATTCTGGTCGGATAGTGTGACAAAGAGGTTCTAGCTGGCTTGGCACCAGAAAACAGCATCGTCATCGGTATTTGATAAGCAGCGCACTTGATATCCAACGGTGACCCAAAACAGCAACATTTTTTAGTTTGACCTGACCTGGAAGGTCAATGACTGACCTGAGAAGGTAAAACTGGGTATCATTGGATTCGTCTCTTCCCAAAGAATCTTTTTGGTCTTTACTGCTAAGCTCTATCTCCAACAGGAACGAAATGGCGTGGGGGGGGGGTGGCAACCACCCCCCCCCCCCCATGTGCGTTCTAGGATGGGAAAATGGCATGTGCGGGCGAGGGTTAAGGTTATCAACGCAAACAAAGCGATTGTAAGGAAGAACAAGTTCGAACTGAGCGTTAGTACACTTACTTGTTGACAATTTGTAAACTAGCAATGCCCAGTCAAAGGCTAGTTCATCAACAAACCAGGGGTTGTTGAACCGACAAGGAAACGGCTATGCCTATCCAGAAGTTGGTAGGTTCACAAGGCCCAGACTAGTACTCAACAAGGTGACGCCTATGCGAATTGGAACCAAACTTGTAGACAAACTGTTAGTTTGTTGGCCAACACGCCTGGGGTTGGTGAATCGACAAGGTGACGCCTATGCGAATTGGAACCAAACTTGTAGACAAACTGTTAGTTTGTTGGCCAACAAGCCTGGGGCTGGTGAATCGACAAGGTGACGCCTATGCGAATTAGAACCAAACTTGTAGACAAACTGTTAGTTTGTTAGCCAACAAGCCTGGGGCTGGTGAATCGACAAGGTGACGCCTATGCGAATTGGAACCAAACTTGTAACAAGGAGCCAACTTGTAGATTTGGTTTACAGTGTATGTACCAGTCGTCTTTAAAAGCTTACCAGACATAAAACTAACCTTAGTCACCAGCCTTCGTCCTTCTAGAAAACAAAGAACATCCGGCACGTGTTGATCTGGTGCTGTGAGCGACTCGCTCATGTCAGCCATGGCTAAATGGCTAATCCGATTGTGGTTGCAATATGAGTCGCCCTGTGTTCTGACTATAGTGTTAGACGCCCAATGTCACTCAAACCAGACTGTAACTACAGTGGTATATTCGATATGTAAGTGACTTTGGTTGCTATGTAAAACATTTGTGCGCTGGTTCATTATTTCTTTCATAAGGATATGTTAATCGATCAAACTTTTGGAATAGTTTGACCTACAAATGTTTATAGCCGCAGCTCATCAGCAAGCACACACTTGACGAAAATTAAGCTCCAGTCTATAGAATGCCGACTGTTCCTTGGATGAGCAACAATGATGCGGTGCAAAAGTCATATTTGCGTCAATTACCTAAGTAAACTTGTTATGTAACTGAAATAGCCACTCCCATGCTCTTTGTATTGATTATTAAATTTGCGCCGGGATGAACAATAGTCGTTATGTAATGCTTTTATACGGGAGGCTGCTGCAAAGAGAGGGCCAGGAATGAGGAAAGCCCCGATTAGAACCGGCAGGGTAAAATACATCACGACAACAACAACCACACATGTCCGAAGCTCCCAAACACACCTGTTATGACATGTGATGTGGAAGACATGAGCAAAAAAAAAAAACACTGTTTTCAGACATACTGGGCTGGCTATAGACTTTGGCTCAGTCAGTCAAGCTCCTTTGCGGTCAAGATTTTCAAGGTCACCGATTTTAAACCAGTACTGACAATGGTGCCCAGCGGCATGCGGCGAAGAAGGCTGAAATGACAAAGGCGATATTTTTTTCCTAACAATATTGGTTGTTCGCTGTTCTTATCGCAATCGTTCGGAACGTTTGCTGTGCCAAACACTAACAGAGAGCTTGAGACATTTGTTCAGAGCTCTTGTAATGTGAAACGTGTGAAGATGCACAGCTGCTAACCTCAGGAACGCAACGTTATGGCTCGGTAAATATTTAACTTACATTCAGCAGCTGCATTCAGCTGCTAGCCTGCATGACAGAAAACTGTCATTTTTCAGTTGACTTGCCTACATAGACTGACTTTAAGCAAAAGGTGAAAATGAGATCATAACAGTGAGAGCGAAGTGCATAAACGTAGGAACTAGGAACCATGGGTGCAATGGGCGCACCTGCACCCACTGAATTTTTCAGTGGGTGCAGACAATGCATTCTGCAACCCACAATAATTGGAACAAAAGCCTCTTTTCTCATCAAAACCACGCCCATACAGCAGGACGAATTCAGGATATCATGTCATCTACCCAACATTGGTACTTCGAAACGGTGCTTACCTATTAATTGGATTCAAGATTCGTTACCAGTCATGTAGGTACACGGACTGACTAGGAACCAACGAATGGACTCCGGAGACGGAGTCTACGACAGAGATTTTATTTAATAGAAATATCTGACGTATGTAGGCTCTTCGTTTCAGTGACTAGTTTGTTTTTTCTTCGAAGATTCTGAGAGTCAACAAGCTCGTCTCATAAATCATTTGAAGCGTAGGTACTGGAACCTCGGCTGTTTTCCTGTTTTGATGTCGTTTTTTTTTCTGCACACCGTTTAAACGATGCCAAATGTTTTTTTTTTTCAAAGGCCAAAAGTATAAAGTATTTTTCTCTCGAAAAACAAAATCGATAAGAATGTTTTTAATCTTTTCTCAGACCAACATATTCATTCAAAAAAGACATAAACATAGCAACTGCACACAGTCGACAATCCTCTGCTATCACCGGGTGCTGTCACCTATACTATATCGTGACAGACTCGTGCTGCCACCTAGACCGTTTGAGTAGCCACTTTCACTGCCCAGCAGCGGGGTCATCTGCTCCTGGGTGGCCTCCATCGACGTCCGGCGAACCTGCCAACAAATCGTCACATACATTCATTTTATATCTAAAACAAAATATCTGTGCCATTGGATACATCGGCGACCCTCCACTTTGTTGAACTGATCATTCAACATGGCAGGGGAACACATGAAACTATTGAAATCGAAAACCACTAGGTATATAGTCAAATCAATGCTATCTCCCACTGAGTTGAGTTCACAATTGTACGTTACAAGGGAATAGCTGACAACTGCTTTATCAAAGTAAAAAAAAAAAAATCGTCAGATACATGTACATTTCTTTATTTATCGGAGGATGATAAAATGGTACCTAATGCAAGACGTGAACCTGAACAGTTTTGCAAGGCATGTGGGAATGTTCCCAATACAGTGCGGTCATTATATATGCAAATAAGTGCAAAATGTTTCAAGCATGCTTTTATGTTTTCTTTTATACGAAAGAACGCAACGTAAGATCTTTGAAAAACACTTTTGGTATTTGGAGAGGCCTGTGACAGATATCTTGCATCTTTGAAAATATGTATTTGTCAGAGTTTTGCATTTTATTCCTACTTTATGAAAGGCGTTCATGAATTTACTTGTGATGCCTTGACTCTGACCTTGTCGCCAATGTCGGAGTCGGGCAGCTCGGAGAGTTTCCTGACCTGCTGGTCGTAGCCGGCGGGCACGGCTACCCGGGGGCCGCTGGAGCGGGTCAGACTCTCTCGACGGCCGGTCCTGCGGCACGGGGCGACATCGGGGGTCACAGAGGTGCTGAAGAAGACGCTCAAGGTGGTGGTGGACGATGATAATGGGGGGTGAGAATTCGTGCGAGTTGTTATTTAGCGCGGTCACATGTTGGGGTCACTCCAAACCCGTCAAGGTGATTTAGGATCAGGTGATGACGTGAGTACCTACGCGCTGCTTTGATGATATATACAAAGTGTTATAATATAGATACCTGGGGCATTCCACGATAGATCGTACCACTTTTTTCCAATTTGACACCCTCATCTCTCGGATTTTAACGATAATTGGTCTAAGGGGTAATCAGGGGCTCTGAATCCTCCTGTAACAATTTCAGGCTTATCAGACGAGTGGTTTTTGAGTTATAGTGTATAACATGTTTTGGATCTTGCGTTGCAGCCCCAAGTTTGGCGGGCTGTAACTCTAAGACGGATAATCCAAATGCCAAATGCTATACGGCATTGAACTTGCATTGAAACAAAGAATAATATGCATTTTTAAAATTTTGAAATATATACTATTTTTTATATATAACACCTCGAGTTTCCTTTCATTTGCATTTTTATGCCTTTGGGACCAAATTTTTTTGAATTTTTATTTGCTTAAAAGCATATTTGGATCATTTTTAAGCAGTATGCAAAAAATCAGGAAGGTGTTCTTTCTATAAATGTACTTATTTTGCGTCACCGTAATGGTCTCGAATTGTGATTTTGGAAGAGAGCCTACAAATGGTGTGGTAAAGCTGCCTAGTGACATCACTGGTTACTGAAAGTTCAATTGAAGTCATTTTTGCCTCACTTTTGCGTTGTTGACCTTGCGTGACGTCATTCGTACGTCACTAGGGTCATAAGAGTTTTTCGTCAATAACTCTCGATCAAATTGAGCTAGAGAGACGGGAAGGCTACCAATGGACTCGGGAAGACCTTGCGAATCGAATGATGTGCAAAATGATCTCATTCACCCAGCTTCGTGGCCTGACCCGACTGTTAACCATCTCTGTAGCGGCGCTGTTAGTCCAGCGCCGCGCTGGTTGGCTTTGCCGCGGACTCGGGGCGGTCACGTGATGCCCGGGGGCTGGCTGCCGGCTGGGCCGCCCGGTCGGGGCGCGGAGCCAAATACACGGCAGTGTGCTTACCCGAGGTCAGCGACTTAAGCTGACTTCACCAGAACAAGCAGTATACCATTCGACGCGCCGGAGCTAGGCAAACACAAAGATGCTAAAATCGCGGCTCTGCGACCATTTGTTGCGAAGTTATCTATCAAAAACCGGACCCGTAATTTTGGGTCACTTGAAATGACCTCAGGGGTTACCAATGAACCCGAGACCTTAAAATTTGGTATCATTCGATGCATCTTGTAACGGCGCACATGCTCGTTTTTTCCGCAAGGTTCTAGCTCCATTAGAGGCGAAACGGCGAGCTGGGGTCGTACCGACCCCCCGGAAACCCATTTTGTATACATTTAAATGAGGAACTTATGGAAAGAACACCTTTCTAATTTTTTGCATGTCGATTTTAAAGGACCTGAGGTTTATTTTGAAGAAATAAAAATGGCAAAAATTTTGGTCCCAAGGGCCATTATAGACAATTTAAAAAAATACTACGACTTTTTTCAATATGTAAAGCTTTTCTTTCCAATTTTAAAAATACTGTATTTATCTTTGATTCATCGTTAATTCAAAGCTGTTTACCGTTTGTTGCTTGCTTAGCTCGTTTTTGAGTTATAGCTCATCAAACTCACCCTTACAATCTGAAGTTAAGAAAATATTATGCAATGTAACTCAAAAAGTTTTCATCTGAGAAGTCTGATATTTTGGCAGGTGTTTTTGGAGCCTATGATTACCCCTTGTACCAATTTTCATTCAAATCTGAGAGATGAGGGTGACGGGCCTGGTACGATCTATCGTGGAATGCCCCACCTATAGGTACCTCATGATGAATCTTAGGTACATATCATAAAAAAACTTTGCGAATGATACATCAAATATCACTGATATGACCCATAACACAATGATAAGAAGATTATTATTCGCGTGTCGCTGCTTGGTTTTTAAGATCAGTTGTTTGCATCACATAATCTGTATTGCATTATTCCGACCGCACCTTCGTAATGCTTCGTGAGAGCTTACTACGCTCTGCTTGCTCTTCGTGGCTTGTCTTTTAAAGCCGATGCAGCATCCACGTCTATTGTCCACCGGATAGGCTTGAACGTTTCTTAAAGCCGTATATATTCACTTCAGTCTAAGGGTATTTTGAGTACTTATGTTCCGTCTTCCATGATGAATGAGGAAATGTCATGAGGGCATATGAAGCTATAGGAGCCTGAATGAGCTATCGCTGGAAGAATAGTGATAATCGGTACCTTTGGACCCACTCGTCCACCCAGTTACAGTTTACTGACCTGACTACCCCGCGACCGCCTGGGGGGGGCGGGGGGTCGGATCCGACCCCCCCTCCGTTTTTCTGGAATAACTCAAGAACCGCTTACGCTATCAACTTGAAACTTGGCCTTCTCCCCCATCAATTTGACGTCTTCTGTGTACTTTTTAACCCTCGCCCGCACATGGGGGGGGGGGGTGGTTGCCACCCCCCCCCCCAGGTAGTCTTTCTGCTCTGCACTCAACATTTTTAGAGCTAGAAGGCTGATTTTTCGTATAGCTGCTCCTCTATCCTTTCTTGATGTCCACTGAAAATTTCAAGTTTCTGTGATTTTTGGTTTCGGAGATATGACCTTGTTTTTCAGGTCATGTCATGACCCAAATGGCCAATTCTCAACATCTTGCGCTTGCCATGGGCCTTGTGAGCTTTTGACACCCTGATTTCGGCCTTTTTTGTCAGTCTTACCTCCCACCTATCATGGAACATGTTGTTCGACGATGTACAGGGGTCAAGGTCAGGGTTAAGGTCAACCTAGGTCATCTAAGATAATTGCGTTTTAGGCAAGCTGAATTTACTTTTTGTGAAGTTTTTTGACTGCATTCTTGGTAAAAGCTTCTCAGATCAAGATTTCATGTAATATGGACCCAAAAACAATCGGTGCACACATCAGTATACACACAGACACACACAGACATACAAACATATATAATTGACCTTGACCTAACTTGACCTGAAATGACCTCAGCAGCAAAACTCTGGTCGGGTAGTGTGACAAAGAGGTTCTAGCTGGCTTGGCACCAGAAAACAGCATCGTCATCGGTATTTGATAAGCAGCGCACTTGATATCCAACGGTGACCCAAAAAAGCAACATTTTTTAGTTTAACCTGACCTGGAAGGTCAATGACTGACCTGAGAAGGTAAAACTGGGTATCATTGGATTCGTCTCTTCCCAAAGAATCTTTTTGGTCTTTACTGCTAAGCTCTATCTCCAACAGGAACGAAATGGCGCGGGGGGGGGGGTGACAACCACCCCCCCCCCCATGTGCGTTCTAGGATGGGAAAATGGCATGTGCGGGCGAGGGTTAAGAAAAAATTTCCATTTTTTTAGATATATCGATTTTAGTGATGTAACTACATGGCGTTTTTAGTCAAAAAGTGGTAAATGTGTAAAAAATCGCCAAAAATCAGGGTTTAAAGCAAATTGCAAATTAAAGGAAGGGTGCCACCTTCCGAAATTTTTGTTCTATGAATCTATTTTACTTATTTGAATTTTTAGACGTGGTTAGCGCGTCCACAATATACAAAAAACCGAAACATTGCATTTAATACATTGGCCAAAAAAAAGATCGTTGTTTATATCACCACTACAACTCAAGGTCGTTTGATGTGGCAGCTAGGACGGCTGGCATATCCTGTTGTCATGGCAACATATCATTCTGCCATTTGCATTGATGGCGCAACTGAGACAAAAAGATGAACAAATAAAAAGGAAGAAGATAACATGATTTGAACTAAGTTGTAGGTAACCAAGTAGGTAACTGTTGGCCATATTTCATCATCAAATAAGAACATCAAATAAGTCGAGTAAAGGTTTTTCCTTTACAATGCTTAAGAGATCTATGGAACCCTTCACCCTTCATGCAACTTACTAGAAAAACTTCACAATTAAAATTTTAAAACTTAAGTGTATACCATAAAGAAAAAATATACCCTTTCAAAATGATAAAACATGCTTCAAAAGTATAACTTTCATACATACCTTTGCTGATTTCATGTTTTATAAAATACCCTTAACACGACGAGGAAATAGTGCTGAAGATTTTTGCCTGCCCGAATGCTGGCAGCAAAACTCGCAAATGATAACTTCACGTGCGGATTCAATGCTGACCGTCTCGAGCATAGGTAAGTGAAGCCGGTTTTTAGGTTCATGTGAGGCTAATCTTGTAAAAACTGCGTTGTGTCCAAAAGGTGGCACCCTTCCTTTAAGGACATGAATAGACGCAGCTCAACGAGTTCTTTAAAATGGCTATCTCGGATTTTCCATAAAATGTGTTTTTCACCCCTAAAAAATTCAAAAAACTACATTTTTTGGAAAACAGCTAATAAAATCCAAAATTTTGAGAGTTTCCAAAAACCCGGAAAATATGTTATAGAGCTCTATTAGAACATTAGATGTCCCAAATTTCAACTTTCTATCTTGATTTTTGACCCCCAAATTGTAAAAAATAGCTCCAACATGCATAGGGCATGGTGACGTCATACGCATTTTCGTGAATTAGAGGCACTTCTGAACATTGCATGTGAAAATAAATGGCACCACTAGATTCCTGGGACAAAGCTCGTCTAGAAAAGTGCATTTTTATGTCAAAAATAAAAAGTTGAAAAAATGACCTTTTTTTCTCAGCCCTCGTTTAGTTATGTATGGTATAAATGATTTTTTATGCTTTCAATGCACACTTACCACCAGCACAGTGACTTGGGGTCACATATACCTAACCATTACCATCGGATTCGGCGTGAAAAATAAGCCATAAAACATGTGTCGCACGCCCATGTAGCAGAAAGTGAAAACCGTGACCTTTCGTGACCTGACCTGACCTTGACCCGTACTTAGTATGACCCCTATACGCACATGGTACCTTCACTAGGCCTTTGTGGTCATTTTTGGTGAGTTTCGAGCAGCAGCTATCGATTCCGCTGTCCGTAAGCCTAATCATGCAAAACCCCAGAATTTGACCTTTGACCTGACCTTGACCCGAAAGTTGACCTCAATCTCAAAATCTTAAGAGTGCTTTGGGAAGGGAAGGTCTCGTAGAGACCTTTTGAACGCCGCCTCGCGGGGCTCGATGCGACCATTGGTTCTCGAGATAACAGGGGGGGGGTCGGATCCGACCCCCCCCCCCCAGGCTGTCGTGGGTACGGAAATAGCCCAGGCGGTGCCGGGCTATACTCAGACCTGTCGTGTGTTGCTCTCTGAATTCGCCTGCGCTGTCACTAGGTAAAATCCCAACCTCATCCGCTTCAGACTGGTTCGCAGCTCTGTGCGTCCGGCATGGTTTTGCGTCAAAACTACAATAATTAGCTGTATTTTAGCCAAATAACAGTGCATTCCGCTTAGCGTATAATCTTGTGCTGCAAACTCGGGTGTTAGCAGGTTCTAGATGTGCGAGAGAGCATGACGTAAAACTATAGCATAGCTGGGCCCTGACATAGGCACTTCAAGCATCTTGGAATGTTGTGCTCGATGAGATCAGGACGTGTTGAGACCGTGTTTAGATTCTTCTTTGACGTAAAGGTTGATAAGGCGGTGCCTATGTTCTCTTTACTTCGCTTGCACGCAGGCTCGTGCATGTAATGAGTAATCCATGGATGCACGATGCACATGCCATATCATTTCTATCATCTCTTATTTGAGATATCATTGTTTATTTCAAGCTAACAGCCCCGCTCCCCGGCTCGTGGCCATTGGCCTGTCCAATAGCTTGGTCTGGCGATAGTCGAGGTGCTGGAAACCTCCTCCCCTCCCTCCAATACTGACCTGTCTATCAGCTGAGACGGGCGATTGTCAAGCCCCCTCCCCTCCCCTCCGCCACTAACCTGTCCATCAGCTGCGACGGGCGGTAGTCGAGCGGCAGGAAGTCCTCGGGCAGCTCTCCGATCTCCTGCAGCGCCGGTGAGCTGAGAGCAGCGGCCACACAGGCGGCCAGCAACACGAGCACAAACACCAGCGCCACGCCGACCGTGATCATGATGGCCGTGGTCACCTGGAAGCCGCGCTCTCGCTCCTGCTCTCCGCGGTCATCATCACTGCCGACGCTGACAAACTCGTCTGGCGGATATGGGGGGAGGGGACGCTGGTGATGAGCGTTGGGTGAGAGGTGGAAGTGCGATTGTGAACATAGCTGCTTCATGGATCAAAGAACATTTGGCTTTAGTGGCTTTTTAATTTAACTCATTTAAATTAAATCATTTAACGTTTATTCATTTAAACAAAATCGACGGTAGCAATAAATGATGTAGGATATGTAAGATATCGATATGCATACTAAGATGAAGAGGACTCTTCAATTTTCATGGCTCCGATTGGAAGATATCGAGAATCAACCCAACTAAACATCATTTTGAACCCACTTTAAAAATGTAAATACTATTTGTAAGTTAAAAAGGTTGTTAATCAGTGTTTTGCATTATCTATTTTCTGACTTTAGCACTTGAATCAGTAAACAATAGCTGTATGCAGTTTCATCCATAAGCCGATGGAAATAGTTTGCCATGCAAAAGTTGGCTCACACGAGTTACTTGATCCAGTTTCTTCATGAGAACCACCTTCGTGACATCTCATCACAGTTAGTTGTTATTACTCAATCATGTTTCACGACATATTGCAACACGTCATGACACTTATTGAGATCGTCTTCTCTCAGAGCTTTTCCATTTTAATGAAACCATCTAAGCGTTAGAAATGTTACCTGTTTTAATGTCGTTTTACCGCTTCTCAAACAGTTCGCTGAAGTTCCTTTATCTTTATTCAGATAGCGATCAACACGCCAGGGCGGTCCGAAAATGTGGCGCCATGGGTATTTTTAATCGCCTTTGGATCCGTGGAAATCCAGCTGGTTTGGCCAACCACCTTGAGTGCATGGCCTGAGCTGAGGGCCATAACCGTCCTCAACTCTGGGAATCCACTAAGCCAACTGTTGGGAGGATTAGGCATTACGCAGGTGCCATGGGAGTTGACGTCTTGGTGACAGAAAGCAGAGCGCAAGACAGCTGCAATCCTATTGTAATCTGCAGGGATGAGCTCGGATAGCCGGATCTGTCTCACTGCCGGACGCATCATGGGACAGCCGGCAGATGCACATCAGTGGCTGGCTGAGCGTTGTCCTTCGGCTAACGTAGCTCTTTTATGTAACAAACGGAACATCTGGATACAGCCTAGAATGTAAACATCTGCGACACTTACCAAAGATCCTTGAGGCATCAATTTTTAGACTATTTACTGATAAGCGTTAGTCTAAAACGAGTATAGCTGCAATCGTCCCGAAAAAGCTATACAATTTAAATGATGCCACACGTTATACAATACACAGCGATGGCTCAATTGAATCGATAACAATGAAAAGTGCTCTCTGATTCTCTTGTGAATACCTACTTCATTACAATTAGTCACTTTTTATGGACTGAAATAAAATTAGATCTGTTCCTGCTCGATGTCACCGCGTGTCAAGGTCAAGGGTCGCTCTCGAGCACAATAACAAACGCCAATGAGGACGTCGACATGATGAACATGCGTGTGTCCCATCCCAAAATAATTGTCTACGAGTATGAGTAGCGGAAATATAATGTCCGGCAAGATGGACACTCACTAATCGATGGCCAGTTGATGACTGTGCGGCAAGCCCGTGGCCACATTAGACCACAATACCTGACAATGATTTTACACGAACCAACACAATCACGTATACTTTCGAGCATTGGTCATTAAAAGGTTCAAAGAAACCAAATACAAAAATAAGCGTCAATCATGATGATTAAAACTATAGACACTTAAATATACATACTTGTACTTTGGGGCATTTCATACCTCACACTCCTGAATTTCGTATAACATGCATGCGGCATGCATGGGAAGGCGATTCCTCAGATCACGTTTATTCAATCACTGTGCAAGTGATTTCAAGAACCTAAGCTTCAGTCCCGGAAGCCTCACTTATAAAGCACCGTTGGATGTGCGTGAGGAAGAACACTTATAACCTGAAAAACATTATACGATGAGAAATAAGAATTTCATCCTAATATTACGCATCAGACGTGAGATGGCTGAACGGTGTCGGAAGAAGACGGTCTATAATTACTGATCACTGCTGATCATATTTTCAGATCAGCGTTGCGTGCACATCACGCGCAGGTCCTTGCGAGGACGTCGGGTAATTGCGGTTGTGGAAGTGGAAAGTACGAGCCAATGCCACTGGGGCACCCACGATACCCGTATAGGTGCGCGAGCCTTGCATGCAGCCCCGCAGCACCCAGTGATGGAGGCGGGGGGCAGTAGCGGTGCGTGTTATGAAAGCTGGTGATGAAGTCATCTGGATAGAGAGATTCCAATAATACGAGGCAGACTGGGAAGTTGGGAGACTACAGGACAGGAACGGCCAGCTCCTGGAGATGCGAAACAGGCACGCAAACACTTATCCAGTAGCATGCAACTTTTTAGAAACGGGCATCGTGCATATGCACATATGTGTTGTGGGTGGAAAATTTTCAACTAAGGAGCATTTTAAATATGCTTGAATTACTGTAAAAAAGCACACAATTTTAGCAATCATGCAAAACAAAATTCACTTTAATGAAAATAAAACTAAACATACGACAACTTACATGTTTTCAGGGCCTCCTTTGCAACAGCAGGAACAAAGTGCTCTGTGAAGGGGGAAACATACCATTCGTTATCAATAAAGTTATTAACAGGTAACGACGTGCTTCATATCAGGCGGTGGTATGTTAGATAACGATTATTGTGAGCGCAGTTACAACACACACACCCGGCGCAAATTATTCCCCAGTGCAGTGGCCAGATATCGGTCATATTTAGTCTCCCAATTTCAGTTAGCTAGCATCCCCATCCGTGGGAAAATGAGGCATTGTGCGGCTCAGACGCCATATAGCGCTATGCAGAGAGGTTTGGCGGAGGACTTACTGTTCCTCATATAGACAAGGGCTTCAACAGTGTCTTCAATGCCGATGATCGAATCGTCTGGCCGCTCAGGAAGTGCGTACATATCGATTAGGAGCTGTCAAAAAACCATGGTTTATATCAAAGATGGCTTGAATGTCAAGCTGAACGAAAGGCTAAATTGAAGCTAGTCGTGAGTTGCAGCCAGAAGGTAGCTTAAAACTGCAACTAAAAGGAAGTATTATGCATGAAACCTAACTTATACTTTTATATGATTGTTAGCAAGGTCATGGTGGGCTGGTGCACATACCGAATCTTTGAGCCATCCGATCATGCTGGTGTAGAACATTCTAGTCATCTTGCGCCGCTTAGAGTCCTCAGCGACATGCGATATTACAGAAAGCAGACACTTGAGAAAACTGACAACAGCAGTCACACCGGTCAGTTATGTGGTTGCAAATTTCATTCCATTAATGTCTTCAATAAATACTGATTTTTGTTAGTGAGCTACAGCTGCAAGGAAAGATAACCAATTAATAAGATGCAATTGCGGAAATGAAAGCTACTCAGAAGTTTGAATGCGATGTGTGTTACATCTAAGCAGCATATTCCATTCCGTTAGAGCACTCACTTTTTCATAGTTGACAGCATTTTTCGCTCTTTCACAGGATATCGCTTCTCATCAAAGAATTTGATGCTTGCTGGACCTTCGTCATCAGCAGGGAACAAGTTCGGTGGACGCATGGCCTGTATAGCGTCAAAATAATCCAGTGGCCCTGTCAAAACAGCACCACATACAGCCTAAAATGCTCGAGCAGCTTAACCCTCGCCCGCACATGCCATTTTCCCATCCTAGAACGCACATGGGGGGGGGGGGGTGGTTGCCACCCCCCGCGCCATTTCGTTCCTGTTGGAGATAGAGCTTAGCAGTAAAGACCAAAAAGATTCTTTGGGAAGAGACGAATCCAATGATACCCAGTTTTACCTTCTCAGGTCAGTCATTGACCTTCCAGGTCAGGTCAAACTAAAAAATGTTGCTGTTTTGGGTCACCGTTGGATATCAAGTGTGCTGCTTATCAAATACCGATGACGATGCTGTTTTCTGGTGCCAAGCCAGCTAGAACCTCTTTGTCACACTACCCGACCATAATTTTGCTGCTGAGGTCATTTCAGGTCAAGTTAGGTCAAGGTCAATTATATGTGTTTGTATGTCTGTGTGTGTCTGTGTGTATACTGATGTGTGCACCGATTGTTTTTGGGTCCATATTACATGAAATCATGATCTGAGAAGCTTTTACCAAAAATGCAGTCAAAAAACTTCAAAAAAAGTAAATTCAGCTTGCCTAAAACGTAATTATCTTAGGTGACCTAGGTTGACCTTGACCCTGACCTTGACCCCTGTACATCGTCGAACAACATGTTCCATGATAGGTAGGAGGTAAGACTGGCAAAAAAGGCCGAAATCAGGGTGTCAAAAGCTCATAAGGCCCATGGCAAACGCAAGATGTTGAGAATTGGCCATTTGGGTCATGACATGACCTGAAAAACAAGGTCATATCTCCGAAACCAAAAATCACAGAAACTTGAAATTTTCAGTGGACATCAAGAAAGGATAGAGGAGCAGCTATACGAAAAATCAGCCTTCTATCTCTAAAAATGTTGAGTGCAGAGCAGAAAGACTACCTGGGGGGGTGGTAACCACCCCCCCCCCCCCCATGTGCGGGCGAGGGTTAACAAGTGAAATGTCGATATGGCGTCATTTTTTTAGCATGACAAAGGAATAATTGCTTTTCATTGCAACTTGAAGTGCAAGAAAAAAAGGTAAAGATATTAACAATCTAATATTTGTAAACGTGATACAAATTTATCCGTGCCAGATTTATTATTGTGCTGTGAACGCATTCCCAATCTTATTTAACTTAGGAAGCATTATGCACAGTTGACTATAAAACACGATGTTTCTTTTTCCCAAGGCTCTTTTCCGTAGGTTGCCTGAAATGGTAGGCTGTGCCGCATCACACAGGCTGGGTAACGCAGCATGCTCCTGTAAACCTACGCTCATCCTTGACACGCAGATGAATCTGATGATGAATGTTCGGGGGAATGGCCTTTGTATCGGCTCTTAGATTTTGTGATAAGCATGGCACAACCTATCAATCCAGTTAACTGATGGCTAGTGAGGGGTAGAACATCACCATTTAGTCAAATGCACAAATAATTTTCGAAGAATAAATTTCTATGAGGAACCCACTTGATAAACTCGTAAAATCGAGCACACCTACCGTCCGGGTGAGCAGTGCCTGTCAGTGGTTGACAGATGCGATCCCATGCGTCTTTCTGGTAACTTTTAGCCGCCGCCATGAGCGCAATCGATATATTGTTCTTGAATACTTGATGAGGCTCAGAGGTTGTATTTTCAACCCCTCGAACTTCAGGTAGATAGACCTTTTCATTATATCTTAGTTTCCGTTCTTCGTTTGTCGTCGTTGCAATAGTTGGCTCCGTCAAAATCAATTCAACCTGTCTATGAGTGACATGTGTCTCGTGTTTTTCGTTCGTTTTTCTTACAACCCTATGACTTGCAATGGCAGGTCTTTTAAGCTCGGCATCATATGCAGTGTACTCGTAATCTGTAGTGTCTACTTCAGTTCCATCATATGAATGCAATTCTCCGAACACAGATATGGCTGTCATGCAGAAGATCACCCAATGCATGACACAGAAACATGTTTACGATAATTTACCATTACATATGCGAATGCTATTCACTTTCTGTCAATCAGACTACGGAAACTATTTGATATTTTGGCCCGCGCATCTCCGCTGATGTGAAAATGTGAAATAAGCGCATATTCACATTTGAAAAACAGCGGACATGCACGTGCCGTAGATTGGCAAGCAATGCCTGTTGCACAATATATTTTGAGTGTGAGTTAAAAGGTCACTATGTGGTTAGGTTAAAGGTAGTGTGCCAGCTTTCTTGGACCGTATGGAGTTAATGGCCCAGATAAGGAGAACCGGATTTTTAGAACTTATCCATACCTTCAAAACTCATGGAAACGTCTTAAATTCTTCAAATTTTGAGTACCCCAGTGCGAAATTCGCCCCGACGGGTTGTCGGTCGTACCCCAACCACATTTCACACCACTATGAACAATAAATGCACACACTGAAATCGCTATTACCGATATGCTCATCCAATCAAGTTTCGATAAACCCGTTCATCATCATCTCCTGCGGTTTCGAACACGCCTGTTAGGTGGCTTCTGATGCTCGTCGAGGTCGGAATTTCCAAATACGCGTGGTGCGTCGGGCCGCGCGCTCTGACTTCGGCCAAGAAAAATGCGTCAGCTGATCATTGTCATTTCTGCCACTTGCGTGTGGTGAAATGGGGTCATAACTTATAAGACGGCTTTTTCATATCAATTATTTTACATAAAATCATATTTCAAACCATAAATAATGTTCGACAGCCAAATAAAAGAAACAATACAATACGGGCTTACAGTTTAAGGCTCGACATTGTGTTGTCTACGATTAGACAGCTGATAACTCATTCCCGTACGTCGTATGGTCGTAACACTATAATGACCTTTGCTTATTGTCACAAGTGCGCCGCATTCGCGATTGTTGCCCGACGCCTGTTTGCAGGTGAGCCCACTACAGTTGTTATACATATCTAAAAACCGAAAAACTTTTAGGCGAAAAAGGCACTATTCCAGGCCCATTTTTGATTTTTTTTTGCGATATTCGGTAAAAACAGAAGCTTCTTATCCTAGGAAAAATAAAATGGGAAATCTTTCAAAGGTGGCACACTACCTTTAAAGTAACTACTTAAATTGTATGCCAATTTTTCTTTCACAACGTTTTAAGCGAATGTAATTACCTTTAATTTGGCGCATTGCTGTCGAAGAAGATTTGGGAACAAGTGCACTAGTATAAAAAGGACGATTTTCACCCAATTACGCCAATGTCATCAGGTACTGCTACGTTAAGTACGTACGTTAAAACGAGCACAGATGATAGGACAATGCTGATCAAATGTAATGATAAATCATATCAACGGTAAGTACGGCAAGGGAACGGAAATGGCTAATTTGTTTCGTGCATGATACCGTGCATATCGTCATTGTGCAATGGTCGTGTGAAAGGTGTCACGCCCATGATCAGTGACTTGTTCCGGATACGGACAGAAGTCTCGTTATGAGCGGATGCGGATGACTGTAGGATGGTCCGGGTAAATTTCGCTGACGCTTGATCACTTTAGCTATAGATATCAGTTGGATGTTTGATCTTTTGCCGTTGAGATGATTAACTAAGTGGATTTTAACGATGGCAAAACGGGCAGCAGCTTTCTGCACTGACTTCTTTTGATCTAAGCTTTGAGCAATTAGCGCTTAAAGCTGCTTCATTGTAAGGGTAAGTATCTAATGCGCACTGTTGTATTTTTCGAGCAGTTGCTGAACCCTAGGAAGATGCTATTAAATCATCCTCGCAGGACCACTGGTGCGCGTAGACCAATATTTCCGGGGTTTTCAATGAGCATTATCATAATTGACTTTGCGCTGCTAGCAGACGATGTCAACAGAGAAAAATGCAGCAAAATCCTTCCGTTGGTTTATTATTTTTGCGTAGAATATACTAAATACTCAATCCATTAATTTTTATGTCATTCTAACTATTTACTATTGCTCCTCGGATATCGGAAATCTTACACAATTCTCATGACTTTAAACGAAAAAGCTGAGCAAAGTCTAAGCTCACGGTACATATAATCTGACCGATTATGTCATCATTTGTCCGTTCCGATATTACACGGAGCGCTGGCCTTGGCAGGCCCTTCTCTTCCAGTTTTCGACTTTGATCCCTACCATGATGAAATGAGAAGCGACGAACGAATAGCAGCAGAAAGAAGGGAGAGGAGTGCACTGCTGTAGTTGCAGTCTGTATACAAGAAGCTGCTGATCAGAGCTCGAAGGACCGCTGAGGCGACCTTACTGACCACTCCGACGGCCCTGCTGACCGCTGTTACGATCCTCTGGCCGTTAGGTTGGTCTAGCTTGACCGCTGAGCTGACCCAAAGGGCGGCTGAGCTGACCTGACTGACCACTCTGGGGTGACCTCGAAGGAGCGATACAGACCACTCTCTTTTGTCCGCCCAGTTGCTGTGAATCTCTACCTGGGCGACTTCGTACCTTTTTGCTATAAATTATTTGCACGATAGTCTATGATGTTATTAGAACTACGCCAATTACTTTGAGCACTTCTAATAGCCAATCTCTTTTTGGATATAGATTATAACGACTTGTGACATCAAACATTTCAATAGGACCTCTTGCATTATACTAAACCACTGAGACTATACATTTTTACATAATAGCCTGCAAGGCGACTCTTTCATTCAAAGACCAGTTTTAAAACGTTGCATAATGACGCCATATATTGCGCACACTAATCTGCGTGTCTGCATGAACCGTAATATACAGTTCGGTATGCGTGTGTTTTAATTGGTGAGGCGCGCACAACCTTGTCCAGGCGTGAGGAAATGCCAGTTAGCTTAGCGGCAGATAGCGGGATGGTGCTGCCGCGCGAGGGTCAGCTGATCGCAGATGTGCATCACGGAGCGGGGCTTTTCCACGCAGAAACAGGTCATGTTATGTCCGCCCGCTACGTCCGGCACGAAGATAATTTCAGCTCATGGCACGACGACAAATACAGGTTTTTATCCCGTGTGTTTAATTCATAGCAGCGCGATAGCTGTTGCCGTGCATGCTAGAGCACTTCACGGATAGGCTTTTTAGGATCCGGCCCGGCCCATATCCGGCAAGTCATATCCAGATCCGCCCATTATCCGCCTTTCTTTGAATATCAGAATCCGGCCCACCCATGGCCCGTATTGCAGCCAAACTTCCAAAACATATCCGTAATAATCCGTTTCACCAATAACTGGTTTCACCAAAACTGGACTAACAAATTCAATCTAAGGGACCAGACAGCCATACATCTCACAGACCATCATGGTTCCAAAAACCATGCTTATAAACCTAAAACCACATGAAAATCACCACATTGGTAAACTAGGTATCAATTTTTAACTTCAATGTTAAATGTTAAAATTTTGATCCGTTTTGATCCGGGTTCAACCTTCAATTCCCAAATCCGGCCCGCCCATATCCGTTCTTTTTTAACAAATTTAGAATCCAATCCTATCCGGTCCGCGGATTTATCCGTGGATAACGGATTTATCCGGCCCATGAAGTGCTCTAGTGCATGCTGCAGGGAAAGCCCGGTTCGGAAAAAACGCACACCAAGAATAGTTAAATTCCAAAAGGACTCAAAATAATCCTGCAGTTACTGTCGTCGCACCCTAATGACTCAACAAACAAAAGATCGTTAAGTGGATCCATTGGGTGGCATAGAAACGAGACGTATCATTCTAGCCTACCATGCAAGCATTGGAGTGTCAATAGCCGTTTTCACGACGGCCATCTGGTACACATTTGGTGCACATCTGGTACAGATTAGGTGCAGACTTGATCAAATCAGGTTCAGTGTGTCTCTTAGCAGCTATCAGCTAGGGTTGCACTAACCGCTTATATGCCTGCTTTGTCATATTATCAGAGAGCATCATCAATTAAAACACTGAAATGAATTCATAAAATGAAGATATTTGCTGTAAAAGAAATTAGGTGCAGATTTGGTCAAATTAGGTGCATTCGCCGGATAGCCCGTCGTGAAAACGGCTAATGTGAATAATGCCACACTGTTTTAAGTTAAACATTCGAAGCAAGTACACTTTTTTGGAAGTATTCTACTCTACAGCACATTTCCCACCCTTATCATTAGTTGTCCACCATCAGCTAGCTTTATCTCACCCCGCCCATGTGTTTAGGGCGCGACTAATCAACAACTCTCGCAATTACGTTGACACTGACGTTCAAAAGCCATTTTATTGGGCAACAGGTTCTTGACAGTTCGGTGGTTACCATTGCAACATTTATGCTTTACCTATAAACCTAAATGCCAAACACCGCTGTGTCTGTCAGGAGGATCTTAGCGTGTCATCGAGCATTAAAGCCCCACAGATCCTATATGCAGGCGCCGGCGAAGGCAATCGTGTCTGAGAGCCAAGAGGTTCCTGAACGAAATTGGCTTCAATCAGGAAGCAGCAAGAATGGAGAAGTAAAGAGCTTATGAAAATGTGCGGGCGATCGATGCTGGAAAATATCTAAAGAGGAACTGCTGCAAAGGTCAGGCTCTTTAGTCTTAACCTTCGCTGGCAATACTGGTTTTCTACATATACGCTCTGGCCGGGAGGGACATGTCGTGCTCGTATATGTACTTACCGCCTTAGAGTTTTGCCCCAAATCAGGCTATGAGCTTTACCAGCTTAAAAAAAAATGTCCATGTTGACCGTCATAAGACCCAGCTCATGCTGTCTGGGTAAAAAATTGAAACCCAATTCAATTAAAAACTCAAGTGAACTTACATATGTTTAACACAATAAAGCCCAATTTTATTTTACCCAAGGAGGTAAGACTTAGGTGAAAACAGTACCCAATTTTAATGTAGGTACAATTATGATGGGGTAGGACAACTAACCGCTGACCTTTCAGGTCAGTTAAACGACTCAGAGTCGCGCGTTCCGGCTTTGGTAAATAGCATCGGCAAAAGTGGAAATACCGGAAATACCTATATAGCAACGATTTCGATAACGTCACGTTTGTCAGCTCCGTCGCACTGAATGATACTGACTGAAAAGTCCAACTTGAGCGCTAACCTCAGGTCAACGTCAGATCAAAGCCAGTCGTAACGTCTGGAAGCTATGTCAAGGGAGACATCGTTGCATATAGCTCCATTTGGTAGTG